TTAGGTACAATTAAACTTGATATATCTTGAGTCTGTGTGCCAGGAGAGCATCGTCAATATTCCTTCACTCTCTCTCTCTCTTTCTCTCTCTGCAAGAAAAGATTACTTAATTTTAAATGTCAGCCCTGAATGTCTAGTTATTGGCCTTTGTGACGTGCACTGTCCTCGTCCTTTTTACGCTGCTTTCAATTTACACATCTTACATTGCCAACACACCTTTATTGGTTGACCGAGGAATGTCCGGGTTTGATGTTTTAGAGTTACTTGGAAAGTTATTGTGCCTTTTGTAGGTTATTTACATCATTTTAATAATATAAAAAAAAGAACTAGAGTACGGCCGTCAGTGTAAATCTCTTTTAGGCTATGCGCTCAAGTCAGTGCTCAATACGGGCGGGCTATGATTATCTGCCTCATTGGCCCTCATGTCTTTCGCTGCTTACTCGCCTTCTCTTGTAAGCATCGGGGAACAAAATTGATAGAAATTACTGTGAGAGCGCAGGCGAGCCGGCGTGTATATTAACAATTTGGATGAATTGCCCGAGACTGGGGCGAAAAATCTAAAAATATTAACTGTGTATGAGAGATGCCTCTTTCTGTCCACGGTTGGTGTTTCTAGTTTTCTCGACCCAGTCTCCACTAATGCATCAAAATAAAAAAATTGGCTAGTAAGCAAAGTGAGCTGGGTTCTCAAATTTAAACCTGTTTAATAAATAGTAACTGCATAATCGGGTTTATTTTGTCGACACCCACGGGGAACCATCCTAGCTATTACATTAGGAACATCTAACATCGCCAACACGCTCAAATTGGTCGACCCAGGGAGGTTCTAGTGTCTAATTTTGTGACGCCCTTAGGAAGTAGTTATGCCTGTTGTGGGCTAACTACATCATTTTAATATTATATAAAAAAAATCAAATACAGCCGTCAATTTCTTTTCAATTATGCGTTCAAGTCGGTACGGAATAGGGGCTACGGTTATCTGCCTAATTTTTCAACAAGTCTGTTGCCGGTTACCCGCTTTCTCTTGTTAACATCGGGGAACAAAATTGGCGGGTAAGCAAAGTGAGCTTGGTTCTCACATTTAAAATATTTTATAAAAAAATGGTAACTGCGTATTGGGGTTTCGTTTGTAGACAGCCATGGGGAACCATCTTAGCTATTACACTAGGGACTTATCGTAGAACGTCAGTGTCGGATTGCGGGCCCCAAGCGCTAGCTCATACCGCCCCCAAGCAACGCAAAACCCCTGCATGCTCTCGCGTGTGACCTACGAAAACTTCTTATTAATGTGACAAGCAAGCGTAGCTGCATTACTGAATCACGCGACAAGATAGAGAAACAATAATTAAGCCTGTCCACCGCAGAGCTGGCGATTCATGCTCCTGGCGATCTTTCTTGAATCACCTCCCAGGAACTAAACAAAACTTTTAGGGAGGTGGATACCTTTCTGTTTAATACGATGCTGTGACATTTGGGTGCCTTTTGCATTCGGTACATCACTTTACGAAGCGCGAGGCCAGCACGACAAGCGCACCGGCCTCCTGCGTCGTCTGCTCCTCGTACTTCTAACAAGTATCGGCGCGCCTCGCCAGGGAGTGGAGTGGCGCTGCGTATGCGCAGCGAAACTTCAGCCGCACAGCCCTACTGTATTTTTGGCCTCAAAAATGCATATGTACCTTACGTGTTTGTATTCCTGATTACTTTGTGGAGTATCTCCGCCCAGCCCTGGTTCATATTCTGTGGCATTCCACGTGACTGAGGGAGACCGCTGAATGAACTGACGGTCGATTCTCGATCGGCAATTTTCGAGCAAAACCAAAAATGTATTGCTGCAATTTTTTTTTTTTTTTTTTTTTTTTTTTTTTTTTACGGCTGGGTTTTTGTTGCAGGTCGTAATTGCCGGTTTGGGGTCTTTTACTGGGGAAAACTAGACAAAGGACCAGACGAGACGCACATGGACAGCGCCATGTCCCTGTACGTCTAACTAAACCTCCGCCTTGTTTGCGCTGTTATTAGTTATTAAAGGAGCTGTGCAACGATATTCAATTGGAATGTTTTTCTCTCTACACGAGCTTACTGGCACAGCTGGGACTCAAGGATACTCACGCGCAATGCCATTGGCCAAGAAACTCCTTTGTTGCGGTGTAATTTCAAGGACAAAAGAGGTCATTTTCATTCAATCTCTCCTTTGCAAAATTTGATGACGTAACTCGGGGATCGCAGTACACCCAAGTGACGATATTTGAATGCGGTTCATAGATTGGACCCGAGCATTGCGTGGGCACTCGACTTGGGCTCGTGACAATTGCTAGCTCGAGAAGCATTCGGGTTGTGACCCGTGTCCAATCGCTGCAACGACGACAACAGCCGAGTCATAACAATGTCTGGAACTCAGCGCGTGTCCTGTGCTTTGCCAACCCCAGCGCGTGGCTATGATCAACACTGGCGGCACATAATCGGCTCCAGATCACGTGGCCGCTTGTTCTGGCTGCGAGTTGAGGGGGTGAACGCTGCTCGTTTTTCTTAAATTTTTTTCTGGGACTTCTATTGCGTGGGGTGAAAAACGAACGCGTGTTTCATAGGTCATTAATGTTAGGGATCCGTTTTAAGCGGTATTTGTGCACAGTACAAAAATTGTTGCACAGCTCCTTTAAAGATGCATACCCGACTCGCCCAAGTTTCTACCTCTTCTCGGCAGGGGCACGTGCCTCCACTGTGTGAGATCTCGTTTGATCCGTGTGCAGCTTATACTAAAACATCCCAAACCGGCAATTTCGGGAAATGGTATGCACTGTGCATCGGCAGACAATACACTTGCCTGACCTTCTGCCCCTTTCCTTCTTGTTTGCCGACCCGTTCTCTTGTTGGTGCGGTCGTCGTTCTATTTCCGTTTTCTTGGCACATGCGCTGCATCCTTCTTTAGCTTCCAAAACGCGTCATTATCGCAAGATTTTTTTTTTTTTTTTTTTTTTTTTTTTTTGCTAGCGGGATGTAGGGACGTGACAATCCTTGATTTCGCGAGATCACCATTTCGAACTTAGTTCGTGTGTACAAAAAAAAAAAACTATATTAGTATAAATAAACCAATGCACTAAATGTAAGAAACCTTGTCACAAAAGTGTCTTCAGGTGGTGCATTTATTATCCTCAAACCCCGTCCAGAAATGATTTCTATAGATACGCCACTGCTTCAGCGCTAGGGAGACCCTCGCATACCGGCTCTCTTTGCGTTGTTTGAAGGGGGAGGAAGGGGGGCGGGGTGCAATGATTTTAAGATGAAAAGAATTTGCATCTCGTAATTTTGCGTTGTTTCTTGTGTCCCGTAGAAAAGAGAAAACATCTCCTTCAATAAAAAATGTCGCGATTCCGCTGCATAATCGCAAAGCAAAAGTCGAGCTTTTTCTCCCACCTGCAGCCGCGAGTGGCAGCCGAAGGAACTACGGCGAAAAGCTTACGTGACCTCGCTCGGCTCTAAGCTGCAGCATAACGTTACGGAGTTTTAGTAGACCGTGTTTCCCCTCCGCTAACCCTCCGCTACGAAGAAACCGCCACTGCGCCTGCGCGCCGATGGCCTTGGCTGTAGTGTTCCCGGTAGCGGAGGGGCTTAGCGGAGGGGGAAACACGGTCTACTAAAACTCGCTATTGTCAGCAGAGAGAGTGATAGGAAGCGTCCTTCGAGAGAGCACACGGGAACCTACACGGCACCCCGAATTGCGTCACTAGGAGTGCGACCAGGTGTGACCCTGAAGACTAGGAGTGCGTTGAGGGGTGCCAGAAATGCCAATATTTGTCTTTTTTTTTTTCTTTCTTTTTTTTACACAACTGGGACACGCAGGTGAAATCGGTTTTATGTTCTTTACTTGAGAAGTGTCAGAGGGCAACTTCCACAAATTTTTCACCGAAGTCCCGAAATCGTTGCATCCCCCCCCCTCCCCCCCCCCCCCCCCCCCCCCCCACCCCCACCCCCACCGCCTTTCAGCTAGAGATGACGCTCCGCTACTCGAGTGTAAGCAGTACCGTACTCGCACACCCAGGAAAAATAATAAACCATTCGTTCACCACTTGACACGCAACCGTCTACAGTTTCTGTGTATTATCATGTTCCCGGCACAACCTTCTTGGAACTAAACCCCCCTTCCCTGTTGATTTGCTTTTTTTTTCCCCTTTTTTTTTATTCGTTACAGAAACGATGTTGATGTTGTAATTACAGCCTCTCATTATGTTCCAACGTTCGCCAACTCCTCTGTAACAGTTTCTGAGTGCATCATGGAAAAGAAAGACGATTACAATTCCCTGTAATGCCAAATTAGAGCGCAGCTTTTGAGGAGGAGGGGAGGGTACGGACGGGAGGTTATGTCAATGCTCCCCCTCCGTTTCCCCCCTACTTCTCTCCTGCTCCCCCTCCTATTTAGCGAAACATTTAGCGAAAATTACCCCGTAAATTTAGCAGGGAAATATTCCCGCTAAATTTATCGGGAATTTTACCAAACGCTAAATTTAGCGAGGTAACTTATCGAAAATTTTCCCGCTAAATTTAGCGGGAAAACCGAATAGGTGTTAAGGTCACGTGACGTCAATTTACCCGCTAAATTAAGCAGGTAACTTTTTCTGCTAATTTTAGCGGAAATTTTTCAAGCTAAGTTTAGCGGAAAGGTTTTTCCACTAAATTTAGCGAAACATTTTCCCCGCTAACTTTTGCGGAAAAACTTTTCTGCTGAATGTAGCAGGAAAATTTTACCCTCGTGACGTCACACGTGACGTCACGTGTGACGCCATTATAGAAAACGTCCCATAATGCAACGCTCGGTTACGCCGACGCCAATGCCTCTCAACCAGGAAACGGGCGCCTAAGAGCTGCGCTCTAACAAAAACGGCACTCAACTGAGGCCCTAAACTCTTTTTTTTTTTCTTTTCTTTTTTAATGAGCCTTGTGTTCCAAGGTTACCCGCTCCCTTGTAACGTCCGCTGTATCTTTTCCTTTCCGACTGCCTTTCTTCGCAGAACATCGAACACCCGGTGATGATCAACGGCGAGATCGTGGGACTGACGCCAGGCGATCACGGCCTTCACGTCCACAGCTTCGGCGACCTGACCAACGGTATAGCGGCATCTCCGAGCTGTTCAGTCTGAACGTTTCCGAGTTACGAAGTGCTTTAAACACGCACCGGATAGCGCCGTCATTGCCGACCTTCACTTGTGTTGCCGAGATGCCGAGCCACTGAAGAGGGCGTTGGCGAGCCTCTACAAAGGTCTATGCTGGGGACAAGGAATGGCAGCGACCTGGCCTGCTGGTAATGATAAAGTGAACGGAATAAGGGCATACAAAAACTGAAGGTCGGTTATGGCTGTGCCATGCCTGAAAGCGTCTCTACCTAGCCTGTCTAATGTTCGCAGGTTGCACCTCGACGGGCACCCACTTCAACCCTATGCACAAGCACCACGGGGCTCCTGAAGATCGAGAAAGGTACGCTCAATTCGGCCCTTGAGTGTCGCCTCTGCGCCAGCGTTGTTTCGTGTGGTATTTTGAAACACTATATATAGGTGGCCCAAGGTGCCTAGATAATTGTGGCCTGTACCAATGGTTTGTACTTGGGAGATAACATTCGTTGAACTTGCATCTTGGTTTGTCAGATACATAATTCGTTTGATAGCAGTCGACAGGATTGCGTTTCTTATGTCGTGCGTGATTCTTTGCGTCTGTATTTGCTGTTTCTGCGAATCTGAGAGCTGCATGTAGTGCTTCCCGCTTGTAAACTTGTTGCTCGTAAAATATTTGTCTGGGATGCCGCTAAGATCGCCAGAATCCTATTTTTAGGGTGTTTACCACCGGCCTGTGACAAGCTGATTCACACCCATAAGGGTGTAAAACATGGCTGTACAACACTAAAGCGCATGACATAAGAGCGCACGACATAAGAGCGCACGACATAAGAGCACACGACATAAGAGCATATGAGATAAGAGCGCCGACACAAGAGCGCCTACATAAGAGCGCCTACAATGAGAGCGCCGACATTAGAGCGCCGACGTAAGAGCGCCGACATAAGAGCCCCGACATAAAAGCGCCGACATAAGAGCGCACGACATGAGAGCGCACGACATAAGAGCTCCGACAGTGGAGCGCCGCGACGTTAGAGCGCACGATTCGAGAGTGCTGCGATGTTATCGCGCCCGACTCAAGAGTGTTGCGACGTTAGCGCGCGCGGCTCGAGAGCGCAGCGAGGCTCGCTTCTCATGAGAGCGCCCGTCACTAGAGCGCACAATCAGTCCAGCGCAAGCGGCCCGACCCGACCGAGCACTTGTTCGGACATCGCGTGTTTTATGTGAAATTCGCGGGGATTCACGCCGAGGCATTCAGCATGGACATTGTGAAATGAGTCGGCGAAATTTTGGCGTGGCAAACCAAAAAGCGTTACAAAAAGCTGACAACAGAAAAAATAATAATATCTGAAGCGTCTGTTTCCGCAGAAACAAAAACCATTGCAGCTGACCTAGCTTCGTTAGTTCTTTGATTTTAATTGATAAAGTTCACCACCGACCTCACTCATTTTTATTTTAAATTATTTTAAAACGTTCAAAAGGAAAAAAGCAACATGTAACATGCTTCCCCGTATTCTGGGATTTTCAAGATCAATTTTGGGAAAGAAGCTCTCGTGCCAAGTGTCACACGCCAATCATTCATATTGTCACAAATGACAATAGTACTAAACAAATGTGTGTGTACACATTTGCATGCAAAAACGCGGCCTACTAATGGGGTCAAGGTCATTGCTCCTATGAGCTTCTCGGAATCTTGCCGCTTGTACTCCAAAAGCACGTCCTTTTTTTATACATAAGGCCTGTATCCGAAAATAATGCGGATGTTGATCGTTCCGGCAGCTGGAGTCGCTAGAAAGTTATTAAGCTGTTGGTTTGTCGGAGTTAAAACCCAAGTTGATGCGGGAACAATAAGTTTAGTGGCCAATTCGTTTTTGGTTCTTAATGAAGTAGCCCAACTGAATTTCCCTTTTATGCAGTGATGCGCACCATCTGTTGACAACTAGAAAAGAAAACGGCTTTGGTAGCTCTCATTAAGAATAGTGGGAGCACGCCTGCATCGTTGCTGCATCCGACAAAAGAACAGGATTGCGGCATGCCGCCGTCCGAAACAACCGATCGAAGACACGTCGTCACGTGCCACTCTACGACGCTCCGATTGGTTCCCTGGTGCCGTACCTTCTGCAGTTACGCGGAAACTCGGATATTCCCGATGCCGCCAAATATGCAAGACCCGTCCGTCTCCTACCGCTGCGCATGTGCGGTAGGCAACCCTGAAAACGTTACTCCCGGAAGGTGCTCATTGTGTTGCTCGAAAACTTGAAAAAGACTGCCGGTAGCTTTCGATGTTTCGAACCAAAAATAAAATTTATACAAGACGAACCGCACTGGTGTACGACGACCGCTCGCCTCGTGTTTTACAACGCAGACACGTCGGAGACCTGGGCAACATCAACGCCGACGTGACGGGCAAGGCAAGGGTGTACATCAGCGACAGCATGATCTCGCTCGTCGGCCACCACGACATCATCGGTCGGGCTTTGGTGGTGCGTACGCATTTAAAAGCTTAAAATCATTTAAAAAGACAAGCCGTCTCCCGTATCCAACAGCGCTGCTCTGACACTGCAAGTGTCGCGGCCATCTACAGCGTGACACTTTTGTGATGTCTTCGGGTCGGAAATCAAAGGAGCACTTTTGAGGACGCAATAAACACAACCAGTCTGAGACACTTTCCAGGCACCGTTCTACGACACACACTTTGAGGGAGATAACATAAAAGGACGTGCATACAAATTACGTGTAGCCTAGGTAGTGATTACCGCAAAACTCATCGGAAGGACGCGTCTCGCCAGGTCCACGCCCTCCCGGACGACTTGGGCAGGGGAGGCACCGACGAAAGCAAGGCGACCGGCAGCTCCGGCTCCCGCCTGGCCTGCTGCATCGTCGGCTTCCAGTCCGGCACTGGATGGCCCAGCCCCAACTCGAGGCTGCTCTTCCTCATGTTCTCCGCGCTGATCGTTTTCTTCTGCAGGCACGGCGCCTGAACCTCGTGTGCCTCCTTGTTCACTGTGTACATAGCTTCGTTGCGTTTTCGCCGACTTGTTGAATAAAACACTGCTAGCTGCGCTCGTCCCTTGTTCTTTCTGAACCTGGGACGGATCGGACCACGGTGGAAGGTAAGAAAGTCTTTGAACGGCGCCGCCTCACCGTATAGAGCAAGTTTGGCGAAGGTTCGGTCGCATTTCCGACAAGAGATGGCGCAACACTACTGGGGTAGACGCATTGCGGATTTAGTAAAGGCTTTGCGCGTCAAAAGCAGTGACGCAAAAATAAACGTTGGGACCAAGCACCGGTTATCGGACTGGTGGCATAAGGCAAGAATAAAGTATTCTATTTTTCTTTCAGTCCGGGCGGACAGTACTTTGACCATGTTGCGAAGAGCACCATCGTCATACAGATTGTAACTTGTTTGTGAAGAATAATAAATGATAATTATCGTGCATTGTAGCAAAATAATTCCGAATTTAAAGTGTACAGTTAAAAGGCATAACATTTTTTTTTTTCGAGCTCTCGTTAGGTGGCGCAAGCCGCTGCCCAACTAAAACGCACATTCGTCCATCCAGTTGGAAGCTCGTCGTGAGAGCCCTTTCGAAGAACCATCCTTGTGGGCGCACAAGGCCGCGCGACATGAACTACGCGAAGGCCCCTAAACAGACAGCGCCCCTGCCGGGAGGTGCGCGAAGCCTGAGCAAACTTCTGCCGTTTTGGCTGGCCTTGTTCAGGCCCTTCTATTCTTTCACCGTGAGTTCAACCAAACCTTCCTAGATGAGACCAGTAAGGCCAAATTATTAACGTCACCTAAAAAAAGAAAAAAGAGGTCACATGGCTTAGAATGGACGCTAGTTCTGCGAGAGCGTTCGGCTGGGACTCGGGACCTCACAGACGCAGCAGTCGTGTCCAAGTTTCGCTCCGTATTGGTCTGCTTCAGGTGACGCCGAAAATTCAGCAATATAGAACTTCTGGATGGATGGATGCTAACGACTGTATCCTTTATAACGGGTGGTATCTTGCGCCACCTAGCCTAGAGACTAATAAGAACCAAAAGTATGATTCCTTCCCTGGCCCTTCGTTACCTATAGGAGCTGTCGATTGGATGGATTTCCGCGAGGCAGAACGTCCCCGTAACGGTAAGTGGGCGAGCTGCCCGGTACTACGTTCGGAGCATCCTGCACCTGGCCTCGACCGTGCGGCCTAACCATGCCCTATTAAGGCCACGGTCCCACTGAATGTGGCAGTTTAGGTACTTTATGGCAGGTCATTACTCATCTCCTTTTAAATACTGTTTTGTGGGACTGATGTCATTCGAAAGGCACTGCAATCCCCTTTCATTTGATATTATGTGTGTGTTGGTTTTTCCTGTTCATGCGCATTTATAGCGATGCGAATATGATGGCGCGGACAATCACTTGCTCCGCTAGTTCATGTTTCATGAACGATCCATTAAAGATAACACGGTTCCAATATAGCAGTTTTGTTAAGATGATGTCGGAGCAGAATTTAACGATACACTTTTTTGGTATCCGCACTACTTTGTTTTTTTCATCCATCCAAATATTGCCCTAAAATTGACATTTTTCAGCACAAATATGTCTTTACTGACAAGCGCTAGGGCAATGAAATTAGCTACAGATGTAATGCTTATAATTGGTAATATGCAGAAAAAAACTTAATGTTGTGTAAAATATTTTTGTTTAGATATTTTATATCAAACGTAGCACTTTTTTGTGCTTCGAGTCGTGGTACTTCAAATGCCGCTGAGGAAATAATTAAACTATGATAAAATATTCTATAACATTTAGAGCTACAATGGTTGCCTAAGAGGTGGACGATGGCTTTTTTTCATTTTCAAAGTCATAACGCTCCAGGAGCCCTTCAAACTTACCTGTTTTTGACGCATATCTTTTTTGGACATCAAACAGATTTATTGGCATCTAATAACATTTATTGTTTGGAATAGATATACATTGCGATGTATTAAATCTTCACAGTTATCTTGCTTTGGTTTTTGAATAGGTGTGGAGCTTAGCTAATTTTAAAAACAATTAAAAACTGTTTGGGTGTTTTATTGCGCAACCTGGCGGATGGCAGACAAACTGCTGATTTCTAATGTTCAAAAAATTTCCTAGGGCGGCGTTGGCGTCTGTATCATCATCAATCTCCGTGCCTTTTTACCTTCACATTTAAAAAATATATTGGAAGATTTACTATCGATAAATGAATGGTTTAAGTACTGGGTCAGGTTAATAAATCTAAGACAAATAATTACACAAGCGTAGCGTGATATAATGTGTTCATTATTCGATATGATTGAAATCAATAAACAATGAAGACGAAGAGAAAAAGAATACACCCGAGTTCACTTCGTGCCTAGAGTCACTAAATGAGCTTTAAAGTATCGGCACTCCGTGCCCCAAATTTGTTTTGGGTGCCGCCATTTTGGGTCTTGTTCAGAGCAAACGCAACTGCCTATCATCATGATCCAAAAGTACGACTTCCTCAGCATTAGATGCGGTGCTAGGAAGCTGATGCAATATTGCAGTGCTCTGTCGCGGGTTGTTTCAACATTTGTGGAAGACGGAAAAGCGTTTCCTGTGATTTTAGATAAAGCTTCAGGTAACTGGCAACCATGATTTTAAGCCACAATATGGCCAAGTGTCGTTACTCTGAACCGTAGCTAATTTACTGGCACAAGCGGGAACAATGAGGAAGAGGCAGGTGTCAAAAGGTAGTGGCTTGTGGAATCCACGGGGCTTACGTCATGGCCCCTCCAGGTATTACAAGCCTCTTGAACAAGAGCATGAATAGTGTCACTAAATAAGCTACGCTTCAGAGTAGCGACACTTGGCCATATTGTGGCTTAAAATTATGGTTGCCAGTTATTTGAAGCTTTATCTGAAATCACAAGAAACGCTTTTCCGTCCTCCACTTTTAACAGTGTGCGACAAAGCAAAGCAACCTTACATGAGCTTCCTAGCACCGAATCTAATGCTGAGGATGTCGCACTTTTGAATCATGACGATCGGCAGTTGCGCCTGCTCTGCACGAGCACCAAAATGGCGGCGTTCAGAACACTGTCGGGGAAGAGAGTGCCGATACTTTAAGCGCAGCTCATTTATTGGCTCTAGTTCCCGCGAAACTCCTTTTCCCTAACTGAAACTGAAAGTAAATATGAATAATACACCATTATTATAGCTTATTTAGTTATAACCAACAACACATAATGAGAGGAGGAAGTGGCCGGGTAGGAGAAACGCGGGTTTTATGTGCGACCGTTCTAACCGTCTCAAAAGACAGAACGCGCGAGCTTTCGCTGGTTTAAAAAAGGCATCCAAAGAAAAGAGGCGGCACGCTGTGTTCTTTGTTATTATGCGTCTAATTGCAAATTGTTGTGTGTATGTTTATAGAGCCGGAAGTTAGTCTGCCTTAGTGGGCGTCTGGTGCCTCAGCTGTGAATGAGCAATTTAGCCAGTGCGGTACAACCGCAAACCTGGGGTCTTAACTTGCACCACGCAGTAGGGATACGCGACCGCACGCCGGTACGATGCTCTTCCAGATCGAAACGGGCAGGGGCGGGGTGGGTTCTGCAGCGCGAGCTTTCGCTCCAAGTGCTCCGAGCTGGTGTGCGCTAGACCATGCACTCGGCCACGGACCCCCCCCCCCCCTTGTGCGTCTAATTTATATACAGGTATAAGTATTTGCAGATCAACGATGGACGTTGATTGTCTCGAGGTAATGTAACGTAAAAACATTATATAAATAACAAATTTGTTGAAGGACTGAACGACTCAATTTTTCAATTCTTGGATTGTAATATGGCGGTAGCCTATTGTACTTACTGTTGATGAAGAGCAATATGAGGGGAGGGGGGGGGGGGGGGGGGGGGGCTCGAGGTAATGATTAAATGATGAGGCTCTTTAAGGGGTATTCAGACGAGGGAGAAATCCCGGGGATTTCTCCCCGGCACGCGCATCCCACGACGAAAACGCCAGGCTTTGCGATGTGCAAAAGCCTCGCGTTTTCATCTCGTGATGCGCGCGTGCCAGGGAGAAATCCCCGGAATTTATCCCTCGTCTGAATACCCAGGACGACGACATTAGTGGGTGTCGAACCACAACGTACAGTGCCAGACTTGTTTCAAGTAATCGTGCACCCAAAGACTTTCTTCACTCGCAACAGAATATGGTAGAATCAATGAGGATGCTGCTTTACAACTGTACGTGGAACAGGAAAACTGCACTGTGCAGAACTGCGGCTTATTTGTTAATATGAGGGACGGATTTCTAGCAGAATTCCCTGATTGACTACTTGGAACAAATGGCCTCGTTGACGTAAAGTGTCCCCGTTCCAAAAGATTTTTGAAGCATACTTAAACCGCAAAGGAGTATGAGGCGAAAAAAAAAGAAAAAGGAGCCTGGTGTGAAAGGTCCAAATCACCACCATAGCTTCTACTATCAAATACAAGGGCAGTTACACAATACTCAAAGAGAGTTTTGTGATTTAGTTATATCTACACTCAAAGGCATTCGTGTTCAGAGGGATGACACCTTCTGGTCAACCAACATAGAGCTTATTCTACTTAAGTTTTACATGGAAGACCGGTTTCCGCTGAAATTCCTCACGTAGAAGAGTTGTCCGACCGAATAAACTGCCATTACTTCCGATCTGGGAATTTCTCGATCTTCGTTCGTATTCCATAGTATCATGAGATCGAGGGGTGTGGGTCTTCGTCCGCCGAATATTGCTTCGGCGGGTGCTTTTACCGTCTAATATGAGACAGTCACGTGCTGCTGGAACAAGAGCCTGGCAATTCTTCACTGAACTGCTTCTTCCGTAAGCTTCAATACGGCATTTTCTTGTTTCGCACACCATCTGTTCTGCTTGCCCGTTAGTTGCAGAATGGTATGGTGCACTAATGTGATCCCTTATGCCGGTTCTTTTTTTCTTCAAAAATTTGTTTATTTTATTTTAAGCAAGATTTGGCGCGTTATCAGAGAAAAGTATTTTCGGTAGGGCAAAAGTAG